TACAATGGGGTGAGGGTATTTTGAAGTCAGAAGTCAACTGGCGCTTTATAGACTTTTTTTGCCGTATGAGTATACGTTGCCAAGGCTACACCACGTGGAGGTAAGTCTATCACGCACTCCAAATTTAGACAATAATATGAGCTATTGTCCGGCACTAAACTGTAGCGAATTAAGTTCTCCTTCACTCATCTCTCACCTTGTGGCAAAAGTAATTGCCCTTTTCGTATCAGGAAGTTGCTCATGTCAGAGAGTACGAAATGAAGACAAAAGAACAGAAGGGAATTGGGTTCAATTTCCGAGCAATTATCTCTGATACACCATGATTGCGAATACCTGACAGAGGCTGCTGATTATGGTATCCGTTGTGTATTTAAGGCCAACAAGTATTTGCTTGGATCTTACTCGGATAGGTTCAGCAAGAACGAGATCGATGTGTGACCAAGAAACAATCTGATCAAGTCGAGAAATAACTGTAGCTGTTTGACACCTGTTCTAATTCTGCAAGACAAAATGTCTATTAAGAACTATTTCTTTAGGTACTTCCCATTTATTATTCACTGATAAATGATTCCATTCCAAGGTGGTTGAAATAATCAATAAATGTTTTGTCCTGAACGAGCTGGATGATTTCGAGGTTGTGAAAGTGGCAAGAGTGCAATAACTCACGTTCCTTCCCCTTAGGCGGCATATTCGATTCGTCTGCTGGTAGTGCAGACGTATTATTACTTGTGTATGCTTGACTTGGAAGAAAAGGTGAGCGCAACAGCTCTAGACACGAAAGTTTCCATAATGGACAGGCGACTCGCGACTGTTAAATGCAATGCCATGGCATGGGGGAGCTGATAATACATCAGGAAACAGGGGACAACTCTTAGTAGAAGCATAGGAAGTGGTTGTAGTGAATGAGATTGGAACATCATGCGTACATTTAGTCTTTGCTTCAACAGACGGGCTCTCAGACAATTAGTAACTTGTTGATTGACCCGTCGTTTCTTGCCAAATGGAGTTGCCATTGTAGTTACTAGCCCGGAGATAGCAAACGATACATTCTCCTAAAAAATCTCCAGATTGGCCACAAATGCCAGAATTCAACGCGCTGCAAGTCAAACACCTCTAAGTTACTTTCATTCTCTTGGAAAAAGCTTAGTCATTTTATTCGCCCTAGTGTAATAACTTAACTTATTAATAGTGACTTAGAACTTCATGACATTGTGCGAAGCCAAGTATGAAAAAATGGAGCTTGCGTTAATGAAACTATGGACAAGATTACCAGATAGGAGGGAAATAATGCTTTTTTAAGATAAGATCCAAACTCACATTGATTTCATTTGAATCGAAGTAATCTAGTGAAATATTCAGTAACAGGAGGTAACAATATTTAGAATGCGGGGTGTGCGATAGACTTACCTTCACGTGGTACACCCTGGGCAACGTATACTCATACGGCAAAAAAGTCTATTAACCGGCAGTTGACTTCTCACTTCAAGCTACCATCACCCTACTGTATGCCATATTCTACCACTTCCACAGTAATCATTTTACCTTTTCTCTGCCTCTGTGTCTGTCTGTCTCTTTTACAACTGTAAATCACTCTTCTGTTCCCCACCCATCGACTTTCTGTTACTTTGACGTTCCTTCCCTCTGTGAAGCCCGAAGTCAGCTAAGGGGCTAATGATAACTATCAAAACACCTTCCATTTGAAATAAATGAATAAATATTTAGAATACTGTATGGGCTGAAGTGAACCTCTCATGCGCATCTCAGGAACTTTCAGGATTTCCATTTAACTGTTTTTCCTTGACCACATTTCTTCGCTTCTGCTTCCACTATTTCGTCACCTTTAAAGAGTGTGAATTCGTAATCAATATGAGTTCGATCAAACCCACCTCAAGAGATGTATACACGCCTTTCTGGTGCTAGAACCTCACCAAGGCTAAGGTGGACTTTTTCATGATATGAAATGGAACTAATGGTCCTTTAATCTAAATTTATTTGATTAAAGTGATTATAACAAGAAATTAGAAATCTTGTTGGTACTGGAATCTGTCTGATTACAGTATCATAGTCGTGCCTTTTATTCTCATTTTATGACATTTGCTATCAGGTCAGCCAAACTGGGTAGTGAACATTAACCGCATATTCCAGGAATTTCCTGCAATTGGAGTAAAGTTGTCTCATGTTTTATGATCTTAAGAAACATTTACGGAACCTCTTAGCCACGCAGAATCATTTTAACTTTTCTATCATTCATATTTGCCAAGTAGGAATTTCACAGTCATATGGATAGGTAAAGCCAATTTGGAAGAACCTAGTGTGAGAAAATCTTTTTGGTAGCTTAACATTCCTCTCTCGTATTAGAAACATCGGTTTCTAACAAACGTTTGGCTTAAAACAATCGTTACTGCCTATGATTTGAATGAGTATAATCGATTTTTTTTGCTTGACTCCAGGGGCCTTTCTGATCCCATACTTCATCAGCGTTCTTGTGACTGGAATTCCAATGTTCTTCCTGGAGGTCAGCATTGGTCAACTCATGTCTCGTGGGGGAATTGAAGCTTGGGAGATCATTCCATTATTTAAAGGTTCGTTAAATCAGTCATTAATATTCACCTCAACATAGATAAAGTGCTCACTATTTATTGCGATTTAAGGTCGATGTTTTATGATTTTATCTCACAGAGACATCTTACTTAATAGATAATTAAAAACTTGAAATTAAATGCCTTTTATACTAATAGCAATATGAGAAAGAATATTGGACAAATCGTTTGGAGCATAATTTGACTGAATTAAGCAAAGCAGTTTTAATGACCAGTCGGAGAGAGTGCTAAAACCTCCACTGAGTCCGAGCTACTTAAAATGAGTTAGACAATGTGGAATTAAGAGATGGTTGCAACCACGAAATGTGTCTGTTTCAAAAAGCATAAAAAGTGGACAAATCACGTAATAATTTCAATTTCATACACTAAACACGCGACAGGTGTAATTGCTCTCCTCTGTAGGAGTCACTTGGAAGCATACGTCTTATTTTCTAACTGTGCATTTTATGTTCCACTTTAATTTAATGCATAATGAAACTGACCAACTGTAATGAACATAATATTATTATTATAGCAAATGGCAGGCGTTTTGGTAGTTATCATTAGCCCTTTAGTTGACTTCAAGCTTCACAGAGGGGAAGGAACATCAAAATGAAAAAGAAAAGGTAGAGAAGAAGGTTAGATGAGTACTGTTGAAGTGGTAAAATATGACATGGAGTCAGGTCATGGTAGTTTGGAGTCAGAAATCAACTGCCAGTTAATTGACTTTTTAGCCGTATGAGTATACGTTGCCCAGGGTGCACCACGTGGAGGTAAGTCTATCGCACACCCCATGAACACACATATATATATCCTGCTCAATGCGGTATAATCATATGGCTACAATTCACACAGACTCAGGAGAATAGGCTAAGGTAAAAGAATGCAGTTTCGTAAATAAATAAATGTAACTGCTTAATTGGTCAGAAAGATGAAACAAAGGCCGTTTAGGATGCGCTTACGGGTGAGTCGATATCTCCCCTCAGACACACGCGTACAAAAAAACCTATAACCGCAAAATGGGGAAATCGATCGTGACAATTAGTCAAGCTAATCAAATATGAGGGAATTGATTTCTACCATACTTTAGCGCACCTACAAATCAACTACAATCTTCGACGGTAAAATTGTGGATCAATTCAATATTCATACAACCCTCATGCAATGCGGGCGGGCATATATGCTTGAGTAGATCTGCACATTGAAGTTCATTGTTTTTGAATGCCATTGGTCTCTACTGTGGAGTAGGAGGGTAAACACCTTTGCCAGAATCTAATTATTCATTGCTTTGGAATGGGCGTTTTTTGCCTATAAGGCTAACTGATGAGGTTAGCATACGACTCTAGACGTAATAAGGGTGTGATAATCGCTCTTGAGAATATCGTTGTTTTTTGGATTTAAAGCAATTTGTCATTAACTTGAGAAAACACAAATTTAGTTATTTATTTCAAAAGGCAGGCGTTGTGATGGTCACCATTAGCTCTTTAGCTGACTTCGGACTTCACAGAGGATAGGAACATCAAAGTGAGAAAAAATTGAGAGGGGGAATAGAAGAGTGATTCACAGATGTAGAGACAGATGGACAGTAATGCAGAGAAAAGGTAAGATGAGTACTGTTGAAGTGGTGGAATATGACATACAGTGGGGTCATGGCAGTTTGCAGTCAGAAGTCAACTGCCGAATAATAGACTTTTTGCCGTATGAGTATACTTTGCCCAGGGTGCACCACGTGGAGGTAAGTCTATCGCGTACCCCGAATAAACACAAACTATTGAACAACAATATACTCGGGGAACATTCGAACTTCAGTGTATTTTAAAATTGTGGAATGTCATTTAGGCGAATTCATAACAACAAAAAGATTTCCCAACTGTACGCTCAACCTTAGGATTACTTGTTTTAATCACCATTTCGATTAAACAACTTTTTTCACAATATGGATTAATTGAATATATATATATATATCTGCAAATTGGCAGATAGTAGGCATAAAAATGTTAAGGCCGAATATTTATTAACATTGTGGAACGATTTTCATGTCTGTCAAGTTAAAATTCACTAGAAGCATTAGTGTAATGAATGAAAAAAACTAAAATATTGATTTGGTAGATTAGTACTCTTCAACAGCTCTCAAGAGCGATGCTGCAAGTAGTACCACCGCCCAGTCTCATGAAGTTGACTACCTTGGGATGAAGGTGAAATGTATGTCCAAATGACCCGAGCAAGTGAAGCCCAAGATTATAAATTGACAACAAGGACACTTAGCGTTCACTCGCCTTCGAGATAAATTAAGCAAACGGCTCACTTGCAACGCTACCATTTTGTGGGTTCAAGCAATGATGTTGTTTTTAGACGAATATCTTGTTTGTGTAGAATAAAGTTAATAAAATTTAGTCATTTAATAACACTCAGCTTATTATTCAGTTTTGAGAAGTCCTTATTTGTGATTCAAACCAATTAGGTGTGCTCAGATGGGCTACGAACCAATGATTATGTGATCGCTTGGGAAAGCAGGTAAACTTGAACCTCACTGGAGAGAAAAATTCTATACCGGTTAAATTCTTCGAGCAATTCGTTACTTAGAAGCGAAAAGCATGAAAAAACGATAGATCACAAATCAATATTATTTATATCGAATGGCAGGCGTTTTGATGGTTATCATTAGCCCTTTAGTTGACTTCAGGCTTCACAGAGGGAAGGAACATCAAAGTAGCAGAAAGTCGAGGGGAGGAGAACTGAAGAGTGTTTCAAAGACAAAGGTTGAAAATTTAGAAAAAATGTGATGTAGTACTGTGGAAGTGGTCGAATGTCATACAGGGGGGCCATGGTAGTTTGAAGTCAACTGCCAGTTAATAGAATTTTTTGCCGTATGAATATACGTTGCCCAGGGTGCACCACGTGGAGGTAAGTCTATCGCACACCCCACAAATCGATATAGAGCAGGTGTGTCGCTGCACAGATTACTAACACCGTACTTTTCATTCCAGGTGTTGGTTACGCGGGAACCTTCATTCTCTTTTGTCTCAATTCCTACTACAATGTTATTCTCGCCTGGATATCCTTCTATCTCTTCGCGTCGATGCAACGTACATTGCCTTGGTCGAGTTGTGGAAATGAGTGGAACACTCCCAACTGCGTGGAATCCAACTCCAATGCAAGTGTTATTCCCGCGTTCAATAATACCACGATTGCAACTGATCCAGTTAATGAATACTGGGAGTACGTTTGTCAATCCCTAAGTGTGGAAGGTGGGCACGCTAAATATCCTGCCGCTCCAATTATCCGAAGTACCTTCTTAAATTTTGCCTCCTGTCTAAATTATCAAGTCCCGTAAAATTCATAGATAAAAACGGCGAACAGAAGTATATAACGTCCAAGGGGGGGGGTGTAGGAGAGTTTGAATTGTAACTTAACTTTCTGCGGGTTGAATCAACAAACCCAAGTCCCTAACCGAAATTCATATCCCCGGTAGGGAAATTCACAAATTATCTGGCAACAACTGTTGGGTCGCTAGGGGCATCCTGAAATTTTTGACGCTTTGCCTTATAGATCACAACCGTTTAAACGAGGCGTTTTTTATAATTTAATTAGCACCTAGTATGCATTATGCAAATACTAGTGTCTGGGTGTAAAAAGAACTTAATTTTCTTTACACGACAATGGTGAAATTCAACATACGAAGCTCACTCGAATTGTCACTCGGTCATTAAGTGGCCTTGATTGAAGAAGCTGTGTAGACAAATTCGACTATTTGGCATATCAGCTGTTTCTATCTGGCCGTATTTGTCTCGAATCAACAACCAAACGGGATTTGGGACATGAGAGTTATCTCACCTGCAACTTCGGACTTTTCCGTTTATTTTTCCGAATTACGGAAATATATATCATCTCTTAGTTTTCTCACAATAAAAACGAAATTTTTAGTTAATGAAGTTTATTGAATGATAGATCAGTAGAGTTTTTATTTATATGTTAGGTATATGCAAGATATTAACGATTTAAGGGGTAGAGAAAAATAATAGCAAACAGTCCACTATGTTAAACAATTATCCGTTTCTCTTCTAAAAATATTCGGCATTATTATTTTAATAAATAACTATTATTCAATTGTGTCGAACACATGCTTAATGTATTTAATTTTGTTTGCTAGAATGTAAGCTTTTCCTAGTCTGAGAATGCTTTTAGGCTAAAACAGGGAAAATATAATTAAATAGCTGAAATAATTTAATTAATTAGTCGACAGTAGTGAGCAAACGTTTATGGTAAATGATAGTTATATTTATTTTAGAATTTATCAAGCATTCTTCCTGGTATTTGTTCCCTTCGTTGATTTTTAATTTTCATCAATATACTGCCCACAATGTAGTGAATTGCTACACTAATTAGCCTTGTTTTAACCTCGATATCCACAATGAAAAAGTCTCTTAAACCATATAGAGGAAACAGACGTATGACATGAAACATTTATTTGGGCTGTTGTGTCTGTCATAGAGCTTAGTCTTTGACATACCAAGAAGGCTTTGTTAAACAATGCAGGTAATATTGATTGATGGCTGGTTGAGAGGTCTCTGTGTTCACGTCAGCCCCTACTCCCTATGCGACAAGTTGTGTGGACCGCAACTTCGAGTCGGTCTGAGTGCGCATGAAACTTCTTTTTTCAAGCTTGACAGCGCTATACCCTCCACAAACTGACTTCTTGCACCCATTAATTTGAAGACTCTATTTTTTAGAATATGCCTGATGAAATATTTATTCATCTCAAATTGCAGGCGTTTTGATAGTTATCATTAGCCCTTTAGCTGACTTCGGGCTTCACAGAGAGGAGAAGGAGGAATATCAAAGTGAAAAAAGTCGATGGGGGTACAGAATAATGATTCACAGATGTAAAAGAGACAGACAGACACAAAGGCAGAGAAAAGGGTAAAGTGAAATGGGTGCTGTGGAAGGAGTCGAATATGACATAGAGTCGGGTCATTATAGTTTGAAGTCAACAGTCTATTAATAGACTTTTTGCCGTATGAGTATGTGTTGTCTCGGGTGCTTCGCGTGGAGGTGGGTCTATTACGCACCCCGCCTGATGAAATATAACACCATGTGCTTGCGAATAACCGCTCATCAATAAGAAATCAGTTTTTCCCACAAGTAGAAGCAATTTCAACATCACTGCTCAAATTATTGAGGATTTAATATCAACTAGGGTACAAAGGTAGATGGAAGTTATCTTATCTTCTTATCTTCTGAACCAATACCAATTAGAATTGATGATAACTAATGACAACTAAGGGAAACAGAGCATTTATCGTTTTCGGAATCAGTCTGCTCAAATCTTAAGTGACCTATTCCATGAAAGGGCTCTTCTTGTGGCTTCTCAGGGCTGTGTCCTTATTTTACCACCATTCCAATTATTTTTATGACATTCAGTGGTTGTGTAAAACTTTTCTTAGTCGTTCCTTATATGCTTATGCGTTTTGTATAATTTGCATTTCATTATTAAGATTCGCTCCCGACTATATAGATGTCTACCTTCTGCGAGAAGTAGATCGGGCATCAATATTTGTGACATATTAATGAGCACTCCTGTTGGCTAAGGTTGTATGATGCCTATTCCCTTCACTGGATGCTTTAACGTTTATGCATGTATCTAAGGTAAACATTACTACCTTCACCTTGCTGCATGATTCAGATTTTCTAAATTCTGCCACCCCTTTTCAGCTTCCGTTTAGTCAAGGCTCCTAACGACAACTAAGAGTCCCTTAAAAGTGTACAATGACCCTAGTTTGCAAATAACATGAGCAAATTGGCTGAATGTTTGCAAGATTAAGACAAAAAAATCGATAATCGATTACGCAGTTGTGCTCTAAACCCATATGGGTTGAAATATTGCCATTGCAAACACACTACGCAAATTAACAAACACAAACTTATTTAAATTGAATTTAAATGAAATAATTTTGTGGAACTTTGTTGGCCTGTTTTGTCTCGGACTTTTGAAATATTAATAAGTGGTCCACGACCCATTGCTATTTATAGACGCCGAGTGCTGGGTATCTCTTCAGGAATTGATGTAGTGGGCACAGTGAGGTGGGAACTCGCTCTCTGCCTCCTCTTTGCTTGGATCGTTGTATTCCTCTGCATTTTTCGAGGGATAAGAGCATCTGGAAAGGTAGGCATTTCCCATTTAATTGAATAGCTTATAAGTAATGAGGAGGAATAATACTTATTCCCCCCTCACTCTTCAGGTCCTCTACATAACTGCTACGGCCCCATTTATTCTGATGGCTATTCTTCTTGGACGCACAGCTGTCTTGAATGGAGCTAGGAAAGGAATGCTTTACTATATGCAACCCAAATGGGAACGCTTAGCCTCTTTGGAGGTAAAAATGAGCTGTGATGTGTTCCCCTGTTTTACCAGTCTTCATGTCAAAATGAAACTGGAAGTTAATTTAAACTTCTTTCACTGGCAAGAATGAGTAATAAATTTCACATTAAGCTTTAAGATACCTGTTTAAATGATATTTTCCTCGAATGACATAAAATGATTGAAGGCTTAAAAGCGGTTTTTCTTTTAATTATACTGCGTCTCAGGTGTGGTCTGACGCTGGAACACAAATTTTCTTCAGTTATTCCATCAGTCTTGGAACGTTGACCGCACTTGGAGGTTTCAATGACTTTCATCACAATACTGTCAGGTATGTATTTCTTCAAAAACTCAACTCTAAAATATATATTTATTTTATGCTAGTTTTTTTTGCGTCTATTATTAGCAAGGTTGTTGACAACAATTAGAAGGCAAGTAGAACGGTTGTGGCCTTGGGGGGGGGAGGGTATGTTTGGAATAGTAATGAATCATCAGATAAGTTTGAGCATATATCATTTAGCTGAAATGGGATATCCACAGTATTGAGCAATCAAAAGGGAAATCAGTCCCAATCTACGCAAATATTGACGTTTGGTGAGTGAATGAGTATTACTGAAAAAAACGGACTACATTTGGATAGCTTGCAACGGAGAAATGAGCGGAGTATTGGCATGGTTTGAGATAAGTCACCCTCCGTATATTTTTAAAGACTGAATTAAATTTAATTCACACATCTACTTGAAGTTGCTGATCCACTTAGATGTGAGTGGTGTGTGTCGATAATAGGCCAGTTGTGAGGTGTTGACGTGATTCGATCGCCGACATATCTGTGTCCCGAACTCTCCAGATCTTAACCTGATGGACTATCATTAGTTTGTCAGCAATGTAATTCCTTATTCTATTGAATATCTATAAATCTCGTAAAGTTCTTGTCACCCATCAAATTTTCACTCTTCGGATGAAAATGCCAAAGTGGTACTTAACCCAATATACAATTTGATGATCCTCAATTGTATGAGTTGGTAGCGAATTTTGAAACTATGTTTTCAAATGTTTTTATTGAGGTCTTTAAGTACTTTGTTATAAGCTGAATCAACTAGGAATGACAGGTTTTGCTATTTCGTTTATAACTGTTCTCCATCGAAATTTTAGATACAAACAAATATTGATTGATCTGATTTGCTTGTCTTTGCCGAAATAGAAATATTTTATAAAAATATTTTTTTGCGAATGTATGACCTCATTATTTATGATATATGGGGTGTGCGATAGACTTACCTCCACGTGGTGCACCCTGGGCAACGTATACTCATACGGCAAAAAAGTCTATTAACCGGCAGTTGACTTCTCACTTCAAACTACCATGGCCCGACTGCTTGTCATATTCGACCCCTTTAACAGTACTCATCTTATCTTTTTCTCTACCTTTGTGTCTGTCTGCCTCTTTTACATCAGTGAATCGCTCTTCTGATCCCCACCCCTCGACTTTCTGCTAATTTGATGAACCTTCCTTCTGTGAAGCCCGAAGTCAGCTAAATGGCTAATGATAGCTATCAAAACGCCTGCCATTTTAAATGAATAAATATCTGATATACTTTTAGTGAATTTATAAGACGAGCCCCTGGTAAATTTCAAGGTCAAAATTGTATACTAGTTTTGTTGAACTAATTTTTTGTGGAAAGCTTCAATTTTTTGCAAGGACAAACATTTCCCGACTTGCAGTCACAGTTATATTTAGTAGGTAAATTAAATGGTTTCTAGGGCATATTTTATTCAACGCTTTTTAAGCTCCAAAATAGACTTAAGGAATTCCTTCTGCTCATAAAATTTAAAAAAAGACATTTCCCGCTGTTGTCTCGAACATCAAATTGGAATTTCCAATGAAAC